ATGGTTGTATTTTAGTCCATTTAAATTTGCAGATTCTTGTAAATTCAGTGCTGCTACAGCCTTAAATATTCCAAATTATTTCAGGTTTTAACTATCTCGAAGTAATTTTAGTTCAGAAAAAAAGCACTAAAAAAGGCACTAGGCACTAAATAATTTTTTTTTGGCGTTTTAATTTTCAAAAAGCACTAAATCTAGTGCTTAAAGCACCAAGTTGGCAACTATGGCTGAATGTTGTTTTCTTTTTTCGAAATAATGTTGGCCTATTTTCTTCAGGCATTTCACAGCTTCACGTGTTCATTTCTCAAATAATTGCCTCCGACTAAGCAAAATACTTCATACCAATATAGCCATTTTTCATGACGAAAAGTAACCTAGTGCAAATGTTACAATGTAAGGCAACATTTTTTAATAAAAAAGAAAACGCCATATGTTTGTAATTGATCTCTTTTTTATATTTAGGTAATACAAATTTGACTTCTGTACGTATAACGACAGTTTCTTTTGTTAAACAAAAATAATTTGCAATGAATTTACCAGTCTGTTTTTATGATTTATTTAACGAGTGGTGTAAAGCTTTGCTGCGTATAACCTTTATTGACTAAAAAAATAATGCTTTTACTAGTCCTTCTACTTGCGATTTCTTTAAATAAAACATGTGAATTTTAGTTGAAACATTTTAGCCGTTTTCTGCCGCTTTTTTTGCCAATATAGCCGGTCGGCCCAAAAAGTTCTGGCAACACTGCTTCTGAGCTTTGCCTTTGTCTTTGCAAAGATTCTTTGTAGTGTATTATGAGGTATCTAATTTTTTCAATTTCAATTATTCTGCGTATGTATGTACCTTTTCTTAGCATTTTCTGTATGACTTGGGCATGGAGTTTGGTTGAGCGTTCCCTCCATTAGCTTTTCTATTAAGTTGCGCGGATAGCTAGTTTTGAAAAATATATCGCGTATTTTGTTGTTGTTTTCTTTGTTAAACATTATGTCGCTTATGCTACGTATTTTTCGTATGAGGCTATTGGCAGTCTTAATTTTTTGTCTCCAGGGGTGATCAGAGTGAAAGTTTATTTTTCTGCCCGATGCAATTGATTTCGCATACCAATTCAAAAATTAAGTTGTTCTTTTTGCGATGTATTTCTATTACTATGTTTATACGCACGCATTATTTGCAAATAACAATTTGAAAAATGGTAAACTTTGCCGTATAAACCCTGAGTTAATTTTTTATTTGCAAATAACTAAATCACGCAAATAAGTATTGATTAGTGGTACTATTTGCAAATAAGCGCAATTTATTTATTGCCTTTTTATAATCAAGACCTTGCCATTTTTAACTTTATTTTCCTTTTCGATGGTCATATTATTGCCTTTTTATAATCAGGCAATATTAAAAAAGAATTTTTCGCCATCGAATAAACAGTGAGTTAGGTATTTGCAAATTATTTTTATTTGCAAATAGCTTACGTATAAACGTTGTATATATCTGGGAAGGCTATTTTGTTTCTTTCTTTCTCAGATGTGAATTGTATCTTGGTATGATGTGTATTTAATGTCATCAGTAGATATTCCACGTCTTTGATTTTAGCTATTGCTAATATCTGTGGTCATAAGCAATAATCGCCTAAGTCGAAAACCTTGAATTCGAGAAAAAACGCTCGAAAGATTTGGATTGTAATGTTAACCTTATGAGGAAACCAAAATATTTTCGCCTATAACTTTTTAAATAGCCTAGCTGGCTGGATGGGGATTTCACGTATGCATGGAATAGGGGTTGATACATATAACTCCATTCCTTCTTAAGTCGACTTAGGCGGTTATTGCTTATGACTACAGATATATCATCTACATACGTATGTATCAGGGTTGTTGCGAATATTCGCATTCGCATTCGCAACCGCGGAGCTTCCGCATTAATTTCAACATTCGTATTCGCAATAATCAATGCGGAGCTTTTGCGAATGCGAATGTTGTGCAAGTGCACCGATAAAACGTATATATGGCAAACAAAATGATAAATTGTAGCCAATATATTTGCCTGTGCTCGTGGGAGTATTTGTGTAACAAATATGATCAAATGTCATATTTATCAACTTTGATAAAAATGTCTTTAAACATATTATTTCTTAAGCTATATAACCGAGCTATCAATGGGCAGCCATACAAGTTCCAACTTCTACTTGATCTTTGACGTACGTCAAAGAGAAGATAGTCTTTTTAACAATGTTTTTTTTCCTTTAAACACCTGCATTGCTCTCTTTCTTTATTATGATTTTTTTGGACCAATCTTAAAAAAACTAATAGACACAAATGAAGAAAGTCTGCACTGTAATTCTTAACCAAATTTTCGTGATTTTCTTTTGATGTTACATATATTCGTTTCTATAATTTCAAATGGGGCTCTTTGGGGAATTTATTATTAGCAAAAATTTTAAAAACAATAATTGTTTACTTGTCGGGCAATATTTTTTTCATAGGGATATACATTGGATCCTTTGCTAAAAACTTCTGTGGTAAAACTGTCCCTTCTTTGCTATATAAAGTCAAAGAGTAAGCTCCATCAATAAGGATGTCCAGCAGAAATGATAAACGTCTGGCTATAAAGAGAATCGATGCTCAAATTATTAAAAAACTATAGGTCTGGCCTTTAATAAGATAAGAATTATGTAACTATCTGAGATTCAAATGCTTATAAAAAACAGGGTGCTTTTTTTTCAAATAACAATATTGTGATCCGATGCGGCTGGCAGCCACGACTTTGTAAACAGAATTTTGTTCAAAATTTTCATTCATGGAAAATAATAATTTATTTTTCATATTCACCTATTTAGCTCGCTATAAGCACAAATTTTTCAAACCAGTCGCAGAAGAAAGTATTAAAAATTAATTACAGAAATTAAATCGAAAAACGTTGATGAAGTTACAGATTTCTCAAATTCGAAACAGCCAAAGTAATGAGAATAAAGAATTTTTTTTTTAAAGCTTTAGAAAAACCTGACACATCTGGTTTGACCTCGCCATTATGCTAGATTCTAATTGTTTCTTAAAAATACTTGACATCCGCATTCGCATTCGCATCCGCGGATGTTAGCTGTTAGATATTCGCATCCGCATTCGCATCCGCGGATGTCTAAAATTCCGCATTCGCAACATCCCTAGTATGTATATATGTCTTTAAGTTTTAATTCAGCTAGGCTGTCGTCCAATATTTTGTCAAGTACAATGTCTGATATTGTTGGATGTAGTGGCCTATTGGCATACCATAAATTTCTTGGTAAAAAGTATTGTTGCATATGAAATAATTGTTGTTGTTGATTTTCTGAAAGTGTGTTTTTTCCTATATTTGTGTGATTCTCCAACTTTTGCCACTTCTGCATAGTCGTTTGTATCGCTAGATGTATCGGAATATTTGTAAATAATGATACGACGGGAAAAGATATCAAAATTTCATCTTCTATGACGATGTTTTGGAGTTTTTACTTGAGTTTGTATGAATTTTTAATGTTATAATCCTCGGATATAGTGTTTTCTAAAATCCTGCCAATGATTTTTGATAATTTGTAGCAAGATATCTTTGTGGAAGATGCTATCGGTCTGACTTGTGAATTTTTGGGAAACCATATAGTCTAGGTGCATTTGCCGCCGCACAGGTCACTTGTAACTTTTATTTAGGGTTGAGTTTGTATAGGTCGTTAATAATGGCGTTGTTTTTTCCTAATAATTGTTGTGCTGGATCATTCCTTATAGTCGCTTAATAATTCACCCATTTTTTTTATTTGTAATCCTCTTTATACACACTTGATACAAATTATCAAAATGCATTGGCAGTATTTTGAAAAACATTATATCCGAGAATTATAACATCAAAAATTCATACAAGCTCAACAAAAAACTCCAAAACAACGAAATTTTGATTCTTTTGACGTCGTGTCATTATTTACAATTACGATTATGCAGAAATGGCAAAAGTTGGAGAATCACACAAAAATTGGATAAAAACAAAATTTCAGAAAATCCTAGACTTTTGTTTACAGGGCAACAATTATTTCATATGCAACAATAATAATAATAATAATAACAATAATAGACTGGCGCTTACACATATGTTAGTGTTTGGCCGAGCTTCTCCTCCGATTTGTGGCGTGCGCCTTGATGTTGTCACACAAAGCGGAGGGACCTACAGTTTTACGCCGACTCCGAACGGCGATTGTATTTTTATGAGAAGCTGTTTTTCATGGCAGAAATTCACTCGGAGGTTTGCCATTGCCTGCCGAGGGACGACCGCTGTTAAGAAAAACCCTTCTTTCTAAATTTTTGCGATGTTGCTTTGACCAGGGCTTGAACCCAGGTGCTGATGAGTGAAAGCGCGCACTGCTTACCAGCTTAGCGGCCGACATATGCAATAATACTTCAACAAATTTATGGTATACCAATGGGCAACCCACTATCTTCCACAATAGCAGACATTGTACATGATAAAATATTGAACGACAGCATAGCTGATTTAAAACGTAAGGCCATATGGGCAAATCTCTGGAAGCGTGTGCTTTTGTGTCACTCACCTTTAAATTAATTTTATTAATGTAATTTTACTTTTTATAAAAAACTTGGACCATTCTGATTTTAGGAAAACTCGACAAATTTTCACCAATATTTTAAAATTTTAAACAAAGGTTTTTAGAATCTTTTTGAGTATGCAGTAGAGCTTTTGATTTCCCGTAGTGGTTCGAGAAGCAACTTCTTGCGAGGATCGCTTTCTCACGAGATTCTCCTGCATCGCAAAACTCGTTATACTCCCGAGCTTCTTAATGATCAATTTAAGGCAGCGTATTTAATTTAGGGTATTTAAACCATGAACTGTTGAATTTCTTTCAAGCGCAATACTCGTCGCCCTCCAGAATATCAACCATGCGCATATTCCTTTCCAGTCACGATTGAGAGAATACAAAGGTTGCGCCGATCTCGGATGCGCTATTCCTCTCTTATCGGATTTGACAGAATGAGCTCTTTGTATGACGTCACACTGGTGCAATTGTTGATTTTGAACTTAGCAATTTATTTGTGTGTTATTTCTGCGAGATTTTAAGCAGTTCAAAGCGATTATTTAAACTTTTACTAAAGCAAAATGAAGTGTGCAGTGGCAAATTGTGATAGTGAAAACCATAGGCAAGCGTGCGATATAAGCTTTTTTTCGTTTCCTACGGACGAAGCTCTCGCCAGAAAGTGGATGCAGTTTTGCCGGCGAGGAAGTGCAGTATTGAATCCCAAATCGAGCTACGTGTGCATGAAGCACTTTTTTAGTGAAGATATAGAGAACAATCGACAGTTCGAAATGGGTAATATATTGTGCATTTTCTAAATTCATCCCATTTAATGTTATTTTTGCAAACGCTTTAGGATTTGCAAAAAAACGCCTTTTAAAGCGTGGTCCTGTGCCCAGCATTTACTCAGAGGATGGGGAAACCTCCCAGCGTGCCGAAAGTGTTCAGCGCGAGGAGTACAAACAGATTGTCAGCGAGTTACTTCAGCAGAGTGAACCTGTCGCAGTCAATGAAGGTAACAATTTGATTTTAAAGAAAGTTTCGACTTATATTTGCAAATAAGTTGTTATAGCCGAGGCGAATAACAGTGCCAACGTTGTTCCGATTGACGAAAATGTGGAGAATAAGGAAAATAACCTAGTGGATGCAAATCTTTCCGAAATCCCCGCGACTTCAACACCTCGCAAATTCTTCTACTACGACAGCAGTTTGGAGGAAGTTGAGGAGCTGGAAGCTAAACTGTAAGTTTGTAAAAGAAATAAGGCAATATAAACATGTTGGCATATTCTTGTGTTTAAATTTTTAATTTTGTTACACGTAGAAAAATACTTAAGCGAGAAAACAAGACTCTGTTAATGGAGAACAAAAAGAAAGCATGGAACTGGCGGCACTCTAGCAAGAGTACGGTAAGCAGAAAAAGAAGCATGACTATGAGGTGGAACAGCTAAAAAACGCTTGGATGAATACGTAAATATGTGTAAAAACATGGAGAGCAAACTGCAGACCATTTTGACGAAGGGTCAGGTTTCGAAACTGAAGCACGGCATTAGGAAACCTACTTGGAGTCAAGAAGACATCGCGAATTCCAGCACGTTGTCCAGAAAACTGAAAATGTCTGATGTCGCTTCATATTAATGTTCTTTTAATGTACAAGGTATAGTGTCTGACAAAATATAAATCTAACGTTTCTTTAAAATTTTTCCCTTTTATCTTTTGCAGTTCGTAACGAGAACTGTTCTTCAGTTCATCCGCTTAACATAAAGGCCCTTTTCAGCTTTACCTTCGAGAATCCTTCGATACCTGCAGCGTAACATATTTGGAATGGGAGAAAGGCTTTTCAGTGAATTGCACCAGCAACTCGAATCGCTGCTGCAAGTTCTGTTTTAATATATTCGCATGTATGTGATATTTTACTTTTATTGTATTGTAGAATTCACATTTTTGGAAAACGCGATCTACATCTGTGCCTCCGTCACTGTATATTAAACTTTTTAATTTGCCCATATGATCAAGCACCACCAAGTACTCCTTGCTCGAATTGCCTCCTCTGCACACTGAACCAGGTCTTCAACATTGAGTATTCTGAAGGACACGCAACCAGCTCAGAGTTGGCTTGGCGCAGTGCGGCATTTGCTTCGCTGCCAATTGTCTGCAGCAAGTGCTCTGACCCACGCACTAATTGCTCACCTTCATCAAGGTACGCGTCGGAAGTTGTTTGATTTGGCATGAATTCAAAAGCTAAATCTGCAATCATTGGCGATGACATGCTGAAAATCACGTCGCGGTAGTCATAACCAATGCGTGGTGTTGATTCACATATTATTTAGAATACCTTTGATAATACTTTCCAAAGATTTCATCTTCGACTAACTCGTGGGAGCGTTGATTCTGAAATGGCAAACATTTTTAACACATGCATTTGTCCCAACATTATTTTTCATACTTACCCTAAAGACTATATGCACAACACCATAACAACGCTTTCATCTATAATTAAAGCTAATATATATCCTTAATATCTATAAATTTTCCCATTTTAATGTGTTATGAATACATTTTTTCGTATTGTGCAAAATGCCTTCTTCTTCTTGCATTCTTGTTCGCGTTTTGACATCGCTCTCTCGCAGCTGCACCAGTATGACGTCACTCAAAAATTACGCTAAAAAATCCTCTCTGATCGGCGCAATCTTGTATTCTATCATTCTTGCTTTCCAGTGAGGTATGTATTGTCCAACCATAGCAATGTTTCTTAACAGATAATTATCACTAATTATCACTAATTTCTGCTGGAAAGCGTTTCTTAACCCAAAAAAACTAGCAGAAACTAGCAGCTCTCTCTCGTTCTTACGCTCTTCTTTTTTGACTCTCCTGCTAATTTCTGCTGGTAAAATGTTAACTAGCAGAAACTAGCAGCTGTCAAAATGGATAAACAAAGATTCGCGCCAAATATTTTCAATAGTCAAATACTTACTTGCTAGTTTTGCGTTTCTTTACTTTTTCGTTATTTTCTCATTCTTCTTCTTCCTGATAACTATCTGCTAGAAAAGAAAAGAAACAAAGCCCATATGGAAGAGCTTTACAAATACCAGATTCCACTGTTCCTCTCGGTTTATTACTTTTAATCACTTTCTTTGCTGTAGCAAAGTATGGAAAACGCCATTTTGTTTGTTTACATTTGAAAACAGCTCAGATCACCTGATTTTCAATTCTCTCATTCTCCGCACAGAGTTACATTCAAGTTTCAGAAAAAACTTTAAAATGTAAATTGAGAAATATTTTAGAAAAATGTGTTTTTATTCATTTGAATTGATAAAATAAGAAATTAAAAATGCATGCCAAGTCTTGCATTTCCAATAATAATGATAAATGTGTGTGTTCCAGGCAATAATTTAAAATATTTGTGAAACTTATCGTTTTGCGCTAAAATACAACAATGTGTGTAAAATTCGTTGCCATTGTTTCTGTTTTGAATACCATATTCGTGCCTGCCGGTGGAAAAAATAGGTAAATTTGCATTTCTTTTTAAGAAAACATATAAATTAAAATATATTTCTTTCCAGAGCCACATACGGACAAGTAAGGTGATAAATTTGTATGATGAATACCGCGGAAAATCTTTTGCATCAAAATTTCTATTCTAATTTGCATTTGAATTATGATATCAACAGGGATGCTTGAAACGTATTTTTTGAAGACACATTTTTTATAAATCTTGAGATTGTTGATTTATTTTAGAATTAAAAAAGCTACTTTATATTAAAAAATATATTTAGACTAGAAGTATGTAAACTACTTTAATTACGAATTGAAACGATTTTAATGAACATGGTTACCATTAAAAGTAGTGTGACAGTTAGACATAATGCATATTTGACAAGAAAGATAGAATACAAGATTGCGCCGTCCTGGCGGCGATGACATATCTGTACAAAAGTAAACAAAGTCGAATTGGATGTTCAAAGAAAATGTGAGAACAGCCAATTTTCTTAATAATAAATTTTTCGATAGGGAACGTGTTTTAATTGTGCTAAATTCTAATAGCCTTATTCATAAAAACTAAAGTAGCCTTAAAAAAGGTTTTTAAATTGAAAAATGTTTGCAAACAGCATATATATTATTTAAAATAACTTTTAACAAAGAAAATAGGAAAAAGGTGATTTTTGCGGAAGTAGGTATTAGTGAATTGCAGTGCATTTAAAGTTTCTGAGGTTTCGTTTACTTTTAGATCAGAATTGTCAAAATTGAGAAATTCAAAGTAGCAGTACAATAATCATAGAAAAGAAGATTGCGCCCTGAATGTTCTGGTATCTTTTTTGGTTTCGGTTTGACAGCCAGCTGCTGTGATGATGTGGAAATTTACCACAATGAAGAAAAATATAACAATTAAGTGGAAAAAATTTGATTTTTACAAATTTAGTGAGCAGTAGCGCGTTTCTAGAAGGATATTTCGGACAAATCGTTAATGAACAACTATTTTTCCTTCCCGTCTGCTTTGGTTTTGGCAAAAAAGTTGATTAGTTCCTGCCGGCGATCAAGTCATTTCAACCACAAAATACTATTATTTGCAAGAACCATTCACTAAAATTTAGTGGAGTGCAATGGGGTATAGTCGTTGCGCTGGGTATGCAGTTACAGTTGCATGGCTATACTCAATCCCGACTCTTGCGTCCTCGTTCGCGCACTCTGGGCAACGTGAGCAACTCATGTGCGAGATGCGGTAACAAATGCGAGTGGAGCCTTGGGTCACGGCAGAAAGAGAGGGAGCTTCGGTCGGGCCACTCCGACTTATTCGGTTTAAGGGCTCACTGAAGTCTGCAGCGTCTGTTCACCAGTAGGTGCGGCTGCAAGCGGGTGTCTGCTTGGAGCAAGCGGCTCGCTATATAAACGTGTATTTGGTTGCGAAACCACCCCCGTCCCAGCAATGGGTTGTGCGCTGGGCTTGGGACCCGCCACGTAAAAACCACTTCCAGTGAAGAAGCAAGGCAAAGCCTCGGATGAGACCCCCCCTTATGATGACGACCACGGCAAATGTTTAAAGGACTACGATTTGAGGGCATGCACCTGGAATGTCCGGACCCTTAATGGGGAAGGTGCCTCTTCCCGGGAGGTTGATGTCCTCGTAAGGACAAAAGCTGACATCATCGCCATCCAAGAAATGCGTTGGACGGGGCAAGGCAAGAATGTCTGGGGCCTTGCGCCGTCTACTACAGCTGCCATGTAAAGGAGCGCAAATTCGGAGTTGGATTTGTGGTGGGAGAGAGACACCGTCGCCGAGTACTGTCGTTCATCCCGGTGGACGAGCGTCTAGCAACAATCCGCATCAAAGCGAGATTCTTCAACATCTCGCTTATCTGCGTCCATGGACCGACGGAAGAGAAGGATGAGGTATCCACGGATCTCTTCTATGAGCGCTTGGAGCGCACGTACGAGCGCTGCCCCCGTCATGATATCAAAATCGTGCTTGGCGACTTCAATGCCAGGGTGGGCAAAGAAGGGATCTTTGGAACCACCGTCGGAAAATTCAGCCTCCACGACGAAACGTCCGACAACGGATTGAGGCTGATCGACTTCGCCGGGGCCCGAAACATGGTAGTATGCAGTACTAGGTTCAAGCATAAAAAGATCCATCAAGCTACCTGGCTGTCTCCGGATCGAAAAACGAGAAACCAAATCGATCATGTTGTGATAGACGGAAGGCACGCTTCCAGTGTTTTAGACGTACGCACACTCCGAGGCCCAAACATCGACTCGGACCACTATCTTGTTGCAGCCAAGATACGCACCCGCCTCTGTGCAGCAAAAAATGTGTGCCCAAATATGCAAGGAAAGCTTAACGTCGAAAAGCTGCAATCACAACAGACAGCCAGCGCTTTCGCTACTCGACTCTCACACCTGCTCTCAGAGAGCACTCTTCAACAAACCGACATATGCGAGCAGTGGAACCACATTTCCCGCTCATTAAGTACCGCCGCCGAAGAAGTAGTCGGATTTCAGCGAGCCCGAAAGAACAACTGGTACGATGAGGAGTGTCAGGAAGCTGCAGAGAAAAAAGATGCCGCCTACAGGGCCACGCTGCGATCGGGCGCAACGCGCGCTATGTGGGAAAACTATAGGGATCTGAAGAGGGAAGCGAGACATATTTGCCGCAATAAGAAGAGAGAGGCCGAAATACGTGAGTGCGAAGAGCTTGAAATGCTGGCCGACAGGAGGAATGCCCGAAAATTTTACCAGAGAGTTAGGCGACTTACGGAAGGTTTAAAGACCGGGGCGCACTCCTGTAAGAACAATAATGGCGACCTAGTAACTGATGTCCAGAGCGTACTTAAATTATGGAGGGAACACTTTTCCGCCCTACTAAATGGTAGCAGCACGGAAAGTTGTGGTGAAGAAGAACCCGAGCCCGCAGTCGATGATGATGGAGTCGACGTTCCACCGCCTGACTATGACGAGGTACGTATAGCAATAACGCGGCTGAAAAACAACAAAGCCGCTGGAGCTGACAGCCTGCCAGCTGAGCTATTCAAGTACGGCGGCGAGGAGTTGATAAGGTGCATGCATCAACTCTTGTGCAGAATATGGTCAGATGAACGCATGCCCGACGACTGGAATTTAAGTGTGCTCTGCCCANCAATTTAAGTATGCTCTGCCCAATCCACAAGAAAGGGGACGCCGCCATTAGCGCCAACAACCGCGGGATTAGCCTTCTAAGCATAGGTTACAAGGTCTTATCGAGCGTATTGTGTGAAAGACTGAAGCCCACCGTCAATGAACTGATTGGGCCTTATCAGTGTGGCTTTAGACCTGGCAAATCCACCATAGACCAGGTATTCACAATACGCCAAATCTTGGAAAAGACCCGCGAGAAAAGGATCGACACTCACCACCTATTTGTCGACTTTAAAGCCGCTTTTGACAGCACTAAAAGGAGTTGCCTATACGCCGCTATGTCTGAATTTGGCATCCCCTCAAAACTCATACGGCTGTGTAAAATGACGTTGAGCAATACCACCAGCTCCGTCAGAATTGGAAAAGACCTCTCCGAGCCGTTCGCCACAAAACGGGGTTTTAGACAGAGCGACTCCCTTTCATGTGATTTGTTTTATCTGATGTTGGAGAAGATAACAAGAGCTGCAGAACTGAACCGCTCAGGAACAATTTACTACAAGAGCGTGCAATTGCTGGCTTATGCCGATGACATCGACATCATCGGTAACAAAAACCGCGAAGTCTGTTCTGCCTTTTCCAAGTTGGATAGGGAAGCAAAGCGAATGGGTCTGGTGGTAAACGAGGACAAGACGAAGTATCTCCTGTCATCAAACAAACAGTCAGCACATTCGCGCCTTGGCACCCACGTCACTGTTGACAGTTACAATTTCGAGAAAGTAGAGAATTTCGTTTACTTGGGAACCAGCATTAACACCGATAATAATGTCAGCATTGAAATCCAACGCAGAATCACTCTTGCCAACA